TACTTTTGTAGGATAACCTCTGCACTCCAATTTAGATTCATTAAAGTCACATTGGTTTAGAACAGCCTTTCCCAACCCATTGCCCTCCCAATAAATCAAATTATAATCTTCATAGTTCCCAGTTTTCCTAGTTACTATTGCTAGTGTTTGCTTCCTAGTTGTGTGGCCAGCAATCTCATCTGTGCACAGTGCAAGAGAGATTAAAAGGTTTGAAGTGTTAGGTGTGAAAACATCCTTATGTTTTACATGCACATATCATCTAAGGCAAATGTGGCAACATGGAGCCTGATTTCAAAGCTCCCTGCAGGCTATTGATTCAAACCTCTAGTAGGAATAGTCTGTTCAAACCTACTACGTGGTGAGAGAGAAAAAGAGAAAGGGGTGTCAGAAAGAGGTAAACAAGGAAACCAGAAGAGAATGAATCACCCACTCAAGGCTGTATTTGCCCTAACCTGAATGGTCTCTTTGTTCCTATCTACAACTGACATAGCTCCTTACAATTACCTTCAGGGGGATTGACCTTCAAGAGAACATTTTTTAGAATCCCATCTCTGAGATAAAGGCTATGATATTCCTCCCTGATGCCCTCAGAGCCTTGTGGATTGTGTGGTAAGGCCAAACATTCTGGCATTTCCCCACAATTTAGGTATTAAACTCACATGTGGCTGAATTGTAATTGTAATATGGGTTTGGGGGAGGTTGGAGGTTTAAAGACCTGTAATCCTAATAAGGGCTTAAGGCAACCATTCCATTCCTTAACCCTTTCCCCCAAGTGTAAAAATATACCTTTCACAATTCCTAGGACAAAATACCAAGTAAACAAATCAAGAATACAGGACTGAAAATTGAAGCGCTCAGCATCAGCTTTCCAAGTTCAGTTCTATTGAAGCCTTGCACTGCCTTTATCAAGAAAAGAGAGGATACACAATGCTAACTCATGTGCGCTGGAGCAAAGATTGGTCTGAAAGCAGACATCAAGGGGGTTATACTTTGTTGCTCCTCAAGTATTTCCACCCCTACAAAATCTTCTATGAATTTCCCCTTCTGCTTCACCCGGTTAGTTTTGTGAATGTTTCTGGTTTTTCTATAGTTCACGAAGCTGGACTGTGCCTTCATTCGCAAGGAGCCATTTGGTGTGGTGCTGATCATTGGAAACTTTAACTACCCTCTCTACGTTACTCTGATACCCCTCTTGGGGGCCATTGCAGCTGGTGAGTGAGAAGTTATCTGCTAATTCATTGTAGACATGGATCTTCCAAGAGATCCAGGCATGTGGTGGATGTTTTTCTGTTGCAGCCGTGTTAAAGTGTTCTCTCCCCCCTACTAGGGAACTGTGTGATTCTCAAGCCTTCAGAGCTGAGCAGCTGCACTGAAAGGCTCCTGGCAGAAGCCCTGCCTTGTTATCTTGATCCGGTGAGTTCCTCAACAGCAAATTCACCTTGCTAAAAAATCAAAATGTAACTGAGGTTTTCTGATTTGCTTTTCCTCTGTCATTTGCCTTGATTTCCTGGAAATTATGAGTGGGCAATTTCTTGGGCCTCTTCAGGAAGACGTCTGGATCTGAAGTAATCTCAAACTGTTTTCTGTTTTTTAAAGCTGAGTCAGATTAGCTGGGGCAGTTCTGGCTGCACCAGTTCATTTGAAACCCTCCAAAAATTTGTATTCCTTCACTTTGTGATGGTGGTAACCCTCTGAGGGTTACAACTGAAGCATCAAAGTACACTACTTCGCCTTTTCCTTCTTTTAGTTTTTTATGATAACTTTATTAAAGTTTAAAACACAGAAAGATAAAAAATAACAAGAAGTAATCATCAAGAAAAAAATTGAAGAAAAGGAAGAATAACGAGGAAAAAGAAAGGCGGAAGGGCAGAAAAAGAAAAAGGAACAGAAATGCAAAAAAAGATTGCCTTCCGACCTCTTTTACAGCTTCTTTACAGTTATACAGTACTGTGTAAAAGTTTTATGCGGGTGGGAAAAAACGCTGTAAAGTAGGT